GAAAGGAGAAATGTATATAATTTTATCAGCTTTTTATACATAAGTTATTAATTTGTTCAATTTCTTCTAGAAAGCTTTTTCTTTCTTTTCTTTTTTTGCTCTGGGGAGAGTTTATTTCTTAAAAGGAGCTACAGCGTAGCCAGCATTTTAAAAAATCCAACCACGGTCTCACTGTGCTTTTGAAATAAGAAAGTAATGCAAAAATCTTTGTACTGGCACTTTTCTCTCTTTCACTTATAATGCTGCTATAATGAGGGTTTGCTGTCCAACTTGTCTCCCAGAAGATGGGTCACACTTCCAGGTCTGTTCTCACTGGTTGTGACTGTTCACAGTCCCATGGATTAAGTGCTGAAAGACTCTAATTGCCATGCATCTCTCTGTCCAGCTACACTGTACATATGTACCAGCTATCACAGAGGTCCTGACTCAGGAAGCAGCATAATGAGAGTTCGATAGGGATTCTCATGTGGTTTACATTATGAACGTGCTTCAGAGCTTCCAGAATTTGAGCCAGAAACTAAAGATATCTTGGAGACTGGAAAGCAAGCAAATCAGAGAAGAAAGGCTGACCAGATGTAGAAGAAAATACATTATCGGTAAAGCATTCGTGCAAATTAACCAAAATACACATTTTGCGCCCGCATACTATAAAACAGATTTCTGAACAGCCAGTCATATGACAATTATTTAATTACTGCACAAACTCAAAAGGAGAAATACGATCTTATTACTGGCTCGAGACCAGAATATGGAGGTAAGAGTAGAAGGAAAGTGAGGTTTTTAAAGAGTTCATGCTCACACACAGAGTAAAGAACATTCTAGTTCTTAATAGGAAAAGGGCTTAGTTTCAGTAATTAATATAGCATGAACTAGTTGTTCCATGCTTTACATGGTTTGGAAACTGATTAAAAACTGCTTTCATATGGAATAAAAAATCTGGTGTGGGAATATCATGTCATGTACCTAGAAAGGACTGTTTTAAAAAAAAATACACCAGAAGAGTGTTATGATGATCATCATGATCAATTTGTATTCTGTCATCTATGCATCTTTCAGATTGATAAGGAAATACTATTTTCCTATTTCATAATGCAGCCAGATGATTTCTGAAACTTCCAAGTACAAAGCAGGTCTCCCATCACAAAAGCAAAAATAATATCAAACTGGCATTGAAATAAGGTTACTGGATCACAATAGTTTTAAGACCTACACAGAGAAAAGGATGCAAGTCCAGTTCAATTCAAATACATTTGCTAAGTAAAGGAAGTGAATTCATTCTTCAAAATTGTTATTTCTGAAGGAGACAGAATGGCAGAAGGAACTTTGAACTGCATTACAAATGATGAAATAGGATTTCTGACACTCAGAAAGAATCAGCATGAACAAGGTTTTGAAAAATTCAGTGACGGGTGTCATTCAGTTTTATAATAGCATGGAAGATTATATAACTCCTTGGTTTTGTAAATAGTATCACCTCCGGGAAAATTGGTATCTTCATGTTTACAAGTATATTTCACCTTTTAAAGCAAAGAGTGAAAATCTGCACTTATCTTTGATTCGTACGAAGGCAAGGTGAAAACTGGCTGGACATCCATGTGGGCTTAATTTATCTACCGGGGAAGGAATTGGAGAACCTTCTATTGACTTCTAGAATATAGCATAAAAATAACACTGTACGATGTCCATCCCTTCTCCCATCCAAATCAAAGTGTAGAACTAACAGAATGATCACAACTATCACATTAGCTTGGAATATAACTCACAATTTATTTCTTAGGAGCAATTTTCTTACTTTTGGCTGCTCCCAATTCTTATCTGTTCCTAGGATTCCGTTCTCCTGGCACTGTGCATGTATCTCTTGGCCACACAAAATCACTTCCTATTATACTTGTTAACTGTGAAAATTGCTTTTTATAAATTAAGACAAAGAGAGGTTGCATTTAAGGGCGAGTAAGGCAACACCTATTCTCTCACGTAGGATAAAGACCAAAGATATTTGTTTATGCTTCAATGACATTATTTAGGTTATCTGATGAACCAGAATGGATTTGATACTCATTCTGAACTTGGGAGCAGGGAAGATTACTAAGGTAACAGGAAACTGGCAGAAAGACTGGGAATGTATTTCTTCTGGCTCTTGTTTCCCATTATTTTTTGTCTACGTAATGTATAAAAAAATAGAGTACTGTGAGAATTCACAAGCTATATTCAGAGTACTGAAGCCTTAAAGAAATAATTCACTCTGCTATTTATTGAAATTTCTTCTTTGCTTCAATATCTCCAGAATGCCTGAAGGAATTACACAGCACAACAGCTCTTCATCCCTTATTCAGCCAAAGCCACAACAGGAACAACTGCATACACAGCCACCAATTGAATCTCCTTAGTGCACAATCAAGAGCATTTTGATGTATGACCTCAAATGGAGGGCAGTTTAGAATCAAGATGAATACTGTTTTGCATAGTCATCTTAAATTGGAGCATGCTATAGTAATAGTATGAAAAAGAGCAGTGGAGAAATAGCGTAGCTACAATTGCTTTTTTAATTAGAAATATAATTTGCTAGAATACAAATGGCATCATAGAACATAGGTACCATCTAAATCTCCATAAAATTTCAACCCTGATGAAGACAGTAGAAGCTGCTGCTGGCTTCACTAGAAACACTTCAGCTTTTGGCAGCTCAAACTTTGCTTGGGGGTATTTGCAGAGAAGTGGTTTTACAAGTAGGATAAACACTGGCAAAATCTCAACTGAAGCTACTAAGGCTTGAAGGACTTCCACATACTGCTTTTGAATACGTCGAAAAACCAAATGCAAACTGCAACCTATTACCTTTATTTTTTTTCTTTTTCTGACGAAAAATTTAAAAAATTCCTCTTGTTAAAACACACACACACACACAAAACAACAACTGCTGTGACCATGAGAAAAATATCACAGAATGACTTGGGTTGGAGAGGACCTAAAAGATCACCTAGTTCCAACCCCACTGCCATGAGCAGAGTTGACATCCACTAGATCAGGCTGTCCAGGATCCCATCCAAACTGGCCTTGAATGCCTCTAGAAATGGGGCATCTGCAACCCTCCTGGGCAACCTTTTCCAGTGTCTCATCATCCTCAAAGTAAAAAAATTTCTTCCTAACATCTAACCTAAATTTACTCTCTTTTAGCTTAAAGCCATTCACCCTTATCCTGTCATTATCAGACCATGTGAAAAGTCAGTCTCCCTCTTGCTTATAAGCTCCCATCAAGTATTGGAAGACTGCAGTGAGGTCTTCCCAGAACTCTTCTTCTCCAAGCTAAACAAGCCCAACTCCTTCAATCTTTTTTCAAAGGAGAAGTGCTCCAGTCTTCTGATCATCTTCACGGCTCTCGTCTGGACCCACTCCAACAGCTCCGAATCTTTCCTGTACCAGGGGCCCCAGTAAAATTTTATTAAGCCAGCATATTAATCTGAGGTGTAGCTTCCAAAAGATCATGCACCAACATGAGCTATTTCTGATTAAATCTAACCCAAAAAAATAGCAGAAATGTAGCTATTTGGATGCTTTGGTCAGAACACAAATCTTTTTTTTTTTATCACAATTGTCTAGTTCTGTCTCAACACACAAGAATAAGTTGACTTTGAATTTCCTTTCTTCCTTGTGCAAGTGCCATCTATGATATAATAGTCCAAAATTAATTCAGCATTAATTCTTCATAGTTTAAAACATATTTCTTTCATATCCCTTGTTAATTATTTAAGTTTTAACAGCAGTTAACTTCCAAAGAAAAAAATTCTTTACATATATGTTTCCCTCTGAGTATACTTTCGCTTCTAAATTAAAGAGATCCTCAGAGCAAAAGATGTGGCACAGCTCATGCTGATGTACATGGGCACATTTCTGCACCTTCATGGAAAATAATCTGGGGTCCCTAGGGGACAATAGATTGAACATGAGTCATCAGCATGCCACTGCAACAAAGACCAACCACATTCTGACTATCAGAGCACAGCCAACAGGTTCAGCAGCGGGTGTGTATGGTTTTGGTCTTCTTAAAGATTAACACGTCCAATTCACGGTCACCAAACGGTCAGGGTCTGGAGCACAGGACATATGAAGAGAGGTTGAAATAAATTGGTTTGCCCAGCCTGGAAGAGAAAACACTAAGGGGCAATCTTATTACTGTTTAAATTACCTAATTGGAAGAAAGAGACACGACAAGAATAATCTCATAGGTGTACAGTGATAGGACAAAAGGCAAAAGATACAAGTTGAAAGAGGGAAGTTTTAATTAGGTGCTAGAAAAAAAGTGTTACAATGAAGTGGTATATTGTATATTGACACAGATTGCACAGAGAGGTTGTGGAGTCTTCATCCTTGGAGTATTCAAGATTAAATTTAACGTGCACCTGAGCTGCGAACAAATGAATTCCGAAAGGTCCCTTCCAACCTTCATCTGATGATTCTCTAAATCTCACTCAGTGTTTATTTACACAAACTGGAAATGCAGACTGGAAATGATTTAAGATCTACACTGTCCTCTGAACTATGCACTGGAAGAGTTGTAATTGGTATCAGCCAACACTACCAAGAAGAATGTTCAATATGAGAGACCACATAAAAACACTGTGGATATGCTAAAAACTGTGTTGTAGCAATATCTCATGTGCTAGTGCAGGCATAGGCTGTGTGTCTTACAGCAGGTTTCTTCGACCTCCTGCTCTCAGAGCACACAGAAGAGGAACCATTAGGAGCTGAAGATATGTTTGAGATGCTGAATCATCTTCCTTATCACTTAGATGTATCTCACTGCAGACAAATATCTGCAAGCAGGGTAAAGTAGCACTGGTCAATATTCTTGGAATCCAAAGTAGCTCCATGTATGGTAACTGCTGAGTCACGGCCTGAACCTCTGACTGATCACCTGAGACAAGCAATGAGTCAGCCAGAGGAGCACAGGTGAAGGCAATTCATCTGGGCTGCTGGAAGAGGTGGAGCCAGGCTTCACCTCTCCTAGACCTATTTAAGAGCTGGTTACCAGTGGGGAAGGATCTCTGCTGGAGATTGCCTCTGCTGGTGTCTTGTGAGTGAGCTCAGGATAGGGGTAAGCCTTCTATTTATCCTCTTTTTGTTATCATAGTCTGCTTTGTCAAACTCTCTTGTTTATTTCATAATTGTAACATCTTAATATTCATTGATTACACACTGCAGCAGCTGAACAAGGAAAATCAATAACATCATACAAGTCTCCGGTCCCACCTTCAGCAGACATCCAACAGAGCTTCCCCCAGTACATACTAACCTGATAAGGAAAAAGCCTATCACTTTACCAAGGAGATGCCCAGCAGAGGACACCTATGAGACAGCTGTGAGTAGTGACAATGTTACAAGCACAGAAGATGCAAACTTGGCATTCAGAACAGGTGTCATCAAGAGGAACATGACAGGCACTCGGGATGATGTATAAACCTGGCAACCATTTTGAGGCACATGAAGGAGAAGAAAATAATCAGTAGTAGTGAGCATAGAGTCACCAACAGCAAGTCATGCCTGACCATCCTCATAAGTTTATGTTAATGAACTCACCAACCTTATGGAGGGAAGAGCAGTGAATACTGTCTTAGCAGACTTCAGCAAAGTCTTTCATGGTGTTTCCCAGCAAGGAGAAATGTAGTCTTGTCCCTGGGGAGGAACATCTCCCGGCACCAGGACGTGCTGGGGGACTCCAGCTGGAAAGCAGCTTGAAATAAAAGGCTTTGGGGTGCCGTCAGAGACACAAAGTTGGCTGTAAGTCAGCAGCGTGCTCCTGCTGCTAAGAAGGCTAATAGTATTCTTGGCTATATCAGGTAAAGTATCACCAACAGGTCATAAGAGGTGACCCTTCTCCTCTACTCATCACTGGTGAGTTCTCCACATATGGAGAACTATGTCCAATTCTGAAGACGTGGACATACTGGAAAGAGTCCAGGAGAGGGTTATGAAGATGATCAAAGAAGTGGAACATATCTGTCCTGTGAGGAGATGCCGTTTCGTTTGGGGAAGAGGAAGCTCAAAGGGAATGTTACCAACATGTAAAAATACCTGAAGGGAGAGTGCTCTTTTCAGTGGGGCCCAGTGACAGGACAAGAGGCGATGGCCACAAACTGGAACACAAGAGGTTCTGTCTGAACAACAGGAAAAATTCTTCTGCTGTGCAGTTGGTGGAAAACAGCCACAGGTTGCCCAGGGAAGTTGTGGAGTCTCCCTGTCTCCCTCCCTGGAGATTTTGAAAAGCTACCTGGACCTGGTCTTGAAGAACCTGCACTGGTTTGGACCAGATGGCCTCAAGAGAACCCTTCCCACCTCAGCTGTTCTGTGACTGTGTGATCAGACTTCCCTTGTCACAGCTGTGTAGATCTGTCCTCTCGAGTGGCCTGAACTTTGCAAGAAATAACAAGGATTGCAACTGTGACTTCACCTTGGATAGTAGCCATGGAGATATGGGAAAGAGAAGACTTTTCCCTTCTCTACCTACACATCTAAACAAGGGTCAGTGTCAGTCTGTTTCCAGACTTTCTGCTCTTGGCTGAAAAAGATGAACAAAAAGCACAAGAGAGTCTAATTACAGCCTACATATTCACCAGGATGCATGACGTCAGTTTGGATTCTCCAGTGTGCTATTCAAGCTGTATCTCTCAATAAGATATGCTTGGGAGAAACACAATCTGTTGTTCCCTTTAGTAAAAACCTCTGTATATTGCCAGCTACAAATACAGGACAGTAAGAGAGCACACTAAACAACCACAAAAGTAGCCATAAAATAAAAACAAAAAGAAGTATTTTTGTATTTTATGAAGTCTTTAATATCACTCTTCTATAACTTGAAGCTGATGAGAGGGCAGGAGAATGCTCATGCTATAGAATCTGAAATGTACATTTAAACCAGTCACCAGACAGGTTTAAAAATATTATCAGGAATATTCAGAAAGTCTGCTTTATTATCAGAAAACACATTTATTTCTCTGATTCAAATTTAACACGGTATTTTTATAACATCAAGCTTTTTTTTTTTTTTTTTTGTAGAGAGGGTGTTTCGTTATAAAAATAATCTTCATATGAACTCACAAAGCAGACAGTGGAGATGCTCTAGTTTTGTAACTAGTTACTAAAATCCACAAAAAGCAAAATTAAACAGGAATTAAAAAGCAGTTCAGAAACACAGAAAAGTACTTCTCTAGATTAACTGCTCAATTAAAATATGAAGAGTAAAAAATAAAGACCTTTTCTGAATTGATTTCAACAATAAAAACAAATGATAAATGTTAGAATTCAAAAGAAAAAAGAAGTACCATTGAGGTGAAGTAACTGAAGAAAAAAAATCCTTGACTGCAGGAGTTATTGAGTCTCTTATCATGTTATCCCCAGTTCAAAAAAGCTTTCAGAAATCTCCCAATAACTATCAGTCCCATGCTTACCTCCCATTAACACTGATGTGATTTGGTCATTTGCTTAAGTGCTCTGTGGCACTGGTTCCATGCTATAATTAAAATATTTCAATGAACAAAAAACACTAATGAGGAAATGATGGCTAAGCTAAGAATAATGTATAAAATCTCAGTTCTAGTAGTATAATAGCTGCAAAGTAGTTTGGCATCTTGGCTAACAGGAGGAAGCCCAACAAAGGGAACATTATACAAAAAGGCAATTTACTTCTTAGGAATTTTCCAGTTCCCTGTAGCTGTTGCTGCAGTTACGTCTTTCAGAATTATGCCTTTCTCAGAGACTTTGGTAATGTCACTGGCTTGGATCTTCACTCATCAAAAGCAATTTTATGTTGTCATAACTGCACAGTAATCAAATAAGTTACAACACCATAAAATTAATAAAACACCACTGTTTGTTGCTGTGGAAATAATTACTGCTGCACAACGTTGCATAAGGTCACACAGATACAATAAAAGGTTAACAGACCTATTTCTGTGAGATCTAAGCTATTTATCCAGCTACTTTGATGAACAACAGAAGAAAATTAACACATGACCCAAGCATGATTATTTCATCTACAAAAACTGGCTATTTATTTACTTGCCATTCTTTATTATAGACAATGTTGGGGTCTTCTACAGAATGAGCACTGCATGCCCCTTCCAGACTGCACCAAAAATGTTTGCTGCACTAGTCCTACGCCATGCTTTTCTCAGAAACATAATTTCTCTGTATCAACCCACTGAGATCCATATGTAGGAGAACTAGATTAATTCTGAACTGCTAACACAGACAGGGCTGAGTGACTCTACTGCAATAGCTGTTAGCTACAGCATAAAGTAAAAACTCTGGGTACTTTTCACCCCAGCAAAACACTCAGTTTAACCAGTGAGGAGGAATGAAAAAGAGGGGGTACTTTTTTGCCACTCACATAAACAATTTCTAGAACAAAATCACTTCAACTTGGCTATGACCAAGATTAGCCAAGCATTGTGGCAAAAATCCAAATGTCCGTCAGGCTCCAAGTCTTTACAAACATGAATAGGTGATACCAAGCTCAGGGAACTTAGGGGGAAAAGATACAATACAGTCAAAGAGAAGAGATTAAAATCATGTAAAAACTGAGCTTCTATATAGAAGGCAGAATTACAGTAGGATAAAGTAGGAAAAGGAATACATTTATCTTCATGTTTCATTACAAGTTAGTTAAAATTATGCCTATTCATCTGATTAGAAAGTTATTCATCTGAAGATAATGCTATGCAAATCTTTATCTTAATAAAATTAATTTCTTTATTTTAGAGGAAAAACATCCATGCATTGTCTAAATTCTACAGTAATTTCAGTGGAATAATTTACATACTTAAATTACTTGCTTAAATTCACAATAGTGAAAGTATTTAAGCACGTTTAAATTCATAGTAATGAGGTCAAGTATCGTTACAGAGATACATATGTACTTTTATAACATGTTCACAGGTAAATGCCAGAAATCCAAAGAAGGTTCAGATTTACCAGAAATGCATTACACTACAGTATCCAAAAAAAGGAACATAAATACATAAATCTTGTTCAAGGGTAATTGAAAAGTCATATTTAATAGTGAACTTCTGCTTATACAGTAACGTTGTTACTATGCTAACAATTGCCTTCTAGCACCTAACTAATAATGAAAGTCTTCCCAAGCAGAAAGGTTTAATTTATAGTTTAACTATGCACATGAATATGAAGATTTGTCTTTTACTGATTCCTAGACAGACTGTATTTTCATTTGTTCTACCAGAAGCAGAATGAGGTTGACCAAATTTTCATATTCTTATTCAAATTTTCCTCTCATCAGTAATTTCTACATGTGTTCACATTCAATATATGATGCCCTTGCAATTGTCTTCATTATTCAGTAATCAGCTATATCATTTGATTGCATGCTTACTGTGTAACACCCACCATCTAATTTTAAACATATAAGCAAAGGGTGCTGGACACAAGCAACATCCATTCCTATGAAAGGCATTAGATGCAGACAGGGTGCATGGTTCCCCCACTGCTCATCTAGCTAGAATTACTCAACCTTGATTTAGCAGATGAAAAGATACTCCACCCTATCTCTGCCATCTCTTCTGGCACAGAGATACAGGTCTCCAGAAACAACAGAACTTAAGTGACATAAGCTACAATAAATCTGCCATGCTAAGAAACATATCCATTATGGAATGGAATCTTTTTAAACAAACACAAGTTCATTTTACCTTACCCTTTGACCTTGAGCTCCATCTCTTCCAGGTGAACCTGATGCTCCTGGGACACCCTATGCATTATAAAGGGAGAACCAATAATGGGATCAACTCAACAGAACGCAACAAAATCACTTTCCAATTTAACTGTATGGCATGGTTTTTCATTTCATTTTTAAATGAGAAGAACTAGGAAATTGATAATGGTGGGGCCATAGAGGAGTTAGTAATGAAGGTATTTCTGTGAAATGAGGGATGGTTAAACACACTTTGTTGAAATGCACACTCATTCGCACTCCCTCACTACAATCCTCTGTTAAGGACACTGACAACTGAGTCACATCGGCCTTCCTGTGCTGCTAAGCTGTAAAGAAATCTGCATCACTCCAGTGTTGTGTCAATATGACTCTTACTGCATGAATCAGTATCTTAACCTGAAGGTATAAATGCTATTTCTCTTTCTCTTTTCTAAAACAAAGCCTGGTACAATATTGTTTGAAGTCATTGTAGCAATATGAAATGGCCTAAGTATGATTACAAATTATGTCCAGCACAGCTCCGCACTGTTCAAATGAAATCTCATTCTCTCATGAAAGCAGCAGAGCAGCCATTACTGTGGTGGTCCAGAAGGCTGACAAAACTGATTTATGAGGAAAGATTGTATGAGTTTACTGTCCCTAACATACATGAACAAAAGGGGGGAACCTGTTAACAACCAACAAACACTGGAATGATATAATGAGAAGAAAACTGTTTGAAAAAGGAAGAGCAAATGATCCTGAGAAGCAGCAATCAATTGGAATGAAAACTCCTACCTAAATACCAGACAAGAATTAAGTTTAGATTCACTGAAAATTACAGTTTTTAATATGCTGATCTTGTGAATGATACCCTAAAAAAAATTAACTGCCTAATATGTCCTCCTATCTAATTCCAGGAGGAATTTACTATTCTTGAAGTGAAAATAAGCAGATGTTACCAATAATTCATTACATAAAAAGGAATTTTAAAGTCAACAGTTTCTAAGTTGTTACAGACCCAATATTCAGTGTGTAACAAGGTCGAGAAAATAATCAGTTCTTCAGACCCTGAACAATTTGGTCACTGCATACCAGCATACCCTAGATTCCTGCTCCTGAATATCCATTTGAGTTTACCATGACAACACACTTCTCAGCAGTTTTGGATATGTGCCTTAAACTCACAATGATGTCAATTCGACACAAGCTTAGTAAGTGACAGGTCAAACAATAACAGAGAATACCTGCAGGCCAGGAAAACCAAGATCTCCTTTCTCTCCCTTTTCACCCGGTGGCCCCTGCAGATTAAGAAGCACTCATAGTAACTCAAATATATGGTTACTTTCCTATTTTTAATGTTCTTATCAGCATCTTTAGGAAAAAAAAACCAACAACAACAACCAACCAACAAGCATACAAACAGAAAACAAGGCTACTTTTCCAGCTGAAAGCAAACCCTCAACTCAATTTGAAAAAAATGTAAACGAAGAATTTACAAATATAAAAAAAAAGACTATGAAATTTACTTTAAAAGACTTCTGAACTAAGCTGACAGGAGTACAGCCATTATGTCACAAAAAATGTAGTTGTTTTTTTCTTTCCTCCTCAGAATCTATTTCATTTCAGTACTCAGGAGTACTAATGATGAAACCACTGGATCTCTACAGAATATATGTATGGCAAGGATATACTTTTCCAGATAATAAGCTAATTTTAATTAAATTCTGTCATAACACATTTCCTCTATGAAAAAACTGATTTTATAATTAAGGTATTAAGGTATTAATATAATTAAGGTATTAAGGTATTACTCCCTGATGACAGCATCAAGATTATGTAGTTTTAAGAAATTACTTTGTTATATTTTTATTGTAGTGCAGTAGAAAAAAGAAAGGGTATTATAACAGTAAAATTATGAAACAAGAAAAAAAAATTACGTATCTGATACCCTTCAGGACTTGTGTGTACATAACTACTGGAGATGGCTATAAAACTAATTTGTCCTGTTGGTTCATTGTTCTGCCAATGTGTGTTTATGATGAAATTCTGATACTTATTTCACAAGAGCTTTGCAAATTCCAGGCCTAATCATCTCCTGTG